CCGGAAACATCAAAGTGGGTACCCGGTTTACCCGGACCCGATGGACCCAAACCCGGATTACCCGGAACCCGGATAAAGATAATTTTTAGACCCGGAACTGGAACCGGGTCTATATATTCCGGTTCTAACGGTTCCGGTCCGGTTTTCCGGTTTTAAATCCAATCCCTACAATGTAGTACATGAGTCTCACAACTAGTATATAATTAAATTTTGAAATGGAGAATCAATAAATATACAAGTGACATGATATTAATTATAATGCCTAATATGTTGACACATTTTTCCATAGCGGTTCCATAGCTATTCTGTAACGATTCCATAGCTATAAATTAGCCACGAGCCATTAGGCTATAGACATTTTTTCGTAGCAATTCCGTAGCTATCTGCTTATAGCTACGGAATAGCTACGGATTGTGTTGTAGCTATTGCACCAGTTTTCTAGTAGTGCTGATGGTAATGGTGATGGTGATGGTGATGATGATGGTGATGGTGACAGTGGTGGTGGTGGTGATGGTGATGATGGAGATGGTGATGGTGATGGTGCTGATGATGGTGGTGTGATGATGGTGGTGGTGATGGTGGTGATGGTGATGGTGGTGATGATGGTGGTGGTGTGATGGTGATGGTAGTGATGATGGTGGTGATGGTAATAGTGATGGTGATGGAGGTGGTGACGGTGATGGTGATGGTGGTGATGGTGATGGTGTTGGTGGTGATGGTGATGGTGATGATGATGGTGGTGGTGATAGTGGTGATGTTGATGATGATGGTGGTGTGATAGTGATGGTGTGATGGTGATGGTGGTGGTGGTGATGGTGATGGTGATGGCGATGGTGATAGTAATGGTGATGGTGATGGTGATGGTAATAATGGTAATGGTGATGGTCATGGTCATGGTCATGGTCATGGTCATGGTGATACTGATGGTGATGGTGATAGTGATGGTAATGGTGATGGTGATGGTGATAATGATAATGGTGATGGTGATGGTAATGGTGGTGATGGTGATGGTAGTGGTGGTGGTCGTGATTGTGATAATGATGGTGATGATGATGGTGGTGTGATGATGGTGGTGGTGATGGTGATGATGATGATGATGTAGGTATACTTGTTTGTGAGATGTATGTGAACGTAGTCATAAGCATTGTAGTGTTAAACTAGTAAACGAGTAATGGACCCTGTATGTGCACACAACTTTATGAATGATATTAATAGCTACATGTTGGTGAAAATATAGATAATCTTGTATAATAGAGGTGTGAAAAAAACGAAGCGAAAAAAACGACGTTTGGTGCCGTAAAAATCGAAAATAAGATAAATCTGTAGCTAATTAGCTACAGATTAGCTACGAAATTCTAACGGAAAGCATATTCCGTAGCTAATCCATTACCTACGGATTACCTATGTAATATGCTTTCCGTTAGAATTTCGTATCTATTTTGTAGCTAATGAGCAATGGATATTTCTTATTTTCGATTTTTCGGGCACCAAACGTCGTTTTTTTTCGCTCCGTGTTTTTCACACCTCTGTTATACATGATAATCTATATTTTCACCAATTTATAGCTATTAATATCATTTATAAAGTCATGTGCACATACGGGATCCATTGCTCGTTTAATAGTTTAACACAATAATGCTTATGAATACGTACACATACATCTCACAAACAGGTATACATACGTAAATACACGTACACATATACCACAACTCATTCATGTATATAAATATACATATACAAACATAATTCATCACAAGTTGGTGAAAAGTATATAGGCATTACAATGTTAAACTGTGAAACGAGTACTTGATCCCGAATGGGAACACGACTTTATGAACAATATTAATAGCTACAAGTTGGTGACAATATAGATAATCATGTATAGTAGAGGTGTGAAAAAAAGAAGCGAAAAAAACGACGTTTGGTGCCCAAAAAATCGAAAATAAAAAGAATTTGTAGCTAATATGTAGCTAATTAGCTACAGAATTTTCTTATTTTTTATTTTTCGGGCACCAAACTTCGTTTTTTTCGCTCCGTTTTTTTCACACCTCTATTATACATGATTATCTATATTTTTACCAACTTATAACAATTAATATCATTCATAAAGTTGTGTGCACACATACGAGATCCATTACTCGTTTAGTGGTTTCACACTAAAATATTTATGAATACGTTCACATACATCTCACAGACACTTATATATACACATAACTCATTCATGTGTATAAATATACATATACAAACATAATCCATCACAAGTTGGTGAAAAGTATATGCATTAGAATGTTAAACTGTAAAACGAGTACTTGATCCCGAAGGAGAACACGACTTTATGAACGATATTAATAGCTACAAGTTGGTGAAAATAAAGATAATCATGTATATTAGAGGTGTTAAAAAAACGAAGCGAAAAAAACAACGTTTTGTGCCCAAAAAATTGAAAATAAGAAAAACCCGTAGCTACTTAGCTACGGATTAGCTACGAAATTCTAACGGAAAGCGTACTTGATTGCTAATCCGTAGGTAATTAGTATCCGTATGTATTCCGGAGCTAATTAGCTACGGAATAGCTACGGATTTACTTTGGTAGTTATTATGTTACTAAACTAGAGCATCTCATTCTATAGCTGATCCATAACGATTTCGTAGCTAATTAGATACAGAAATATTTTGTAGCTATTTTCCGTAAGAAAACATCATGTTTCTAGTAGTAGTGATATGAAAAAGCGAACATTGAATCCATTTAATTTCTACATAGAATTACTTTTTAATTTACAAAAAACTTATAACCTACACATTGAAAAAGAGGTTAACAAAAATATATAAAGCAATGCTTAATTATATTTAATTTTCTTTGTTGTATAAAAGGAGAAACTTTTGGAACAAAATACATCCATACATATATATTGCGGTTAGCTTTTTAATTTATATATTCATGTTAATGTAAAAAACGTCAGTCTACGTTTTAAGAATACATGCATATGCATGTAGCGCTGTCGAAAATACCTGATACCCGAATTATCTGTCCGATTTTTTCGGGTATCGGGTAAATTTTTCCGGGTAATCGGGTTACCCGATTTTTTTCAGGTCGGGTAAAGGGCACATTTTTTGGGTTTCGAGTATACCCGAATTACCCGAATTACCCAAATTATTTTAAAATTTCATTTTTTTTTGTAGAGCTTGTACAATATCGCAGGTATTTGATCACGCTTAAACTAGTATCATTATTATAAAACATAAATATTTTTATTATGACAATACGACACTAACAATATTAAAAGTAATTTTTATATATCATCACGTTCTTTAAAACTTAACTGTTTTCTATATTATAGTTTTTATTAGAACTAACAAACTCATTATCTTGACGAAACTTAAGAACATGGCAAAACTTATGACTATATTTATCTTAAACATTTTAAACTTTTAAATTAAGATCTTTAGGTATTTGTTTTTTTAACATCTTATTATATTAGATTAAGTCATTAAAAAAATATTTTATATCTCATGTATTATTGAGTAGAAAATCTCAATGTTCAAAGTAAAGGTGGCAAAAATTGACACGACACGAACCCGACAAAAAATAAACGGGTTTGGGTAAGATGTTTCAACCCGTTTAAATAAACGGGTTGACACGACACGACACGGAAATTAAATGGGTAAGGTTAGGGTTGAGAATTTCAACTCGAATATGACTCGAAAATGACCCGTTTATTTATATGCAAGTATTTTTAAATTATTTAAACAAACTAAAGAGATACAAAATCAAAACCATAAGTAAAGAAAGCCTTCGAATTAAATTGTTTTGTAATGTTGAAATGACTTAGCCATCTAGATCAAGACTTCATTTCAATTTTTCATTCTCTCCCAAACTATCCAGTCTCTTTCACCACTCTCATCCTCATGACCTTTGTCATCCGTGTCCCCAACTCCCACTCTTTTAATTTTTTCATCTGAACTTGCTATGACTTCAACTATTTTGCCTCTAAAGTATTAACTTTTCCTTTCTACCTACCTAACTCCTACTCTTTCAACACGCTCAATCTTTTAACCTCACATGACACCACACATTTCCATCTATAGCCCTAACCCAAAACCCAACACGAACTCGACACGAAAATAAACGGGTTAACACGACACGACACGTTAAATAAATGGGTCGGGTTAGGGTCAAGCACTTTCAACCCATTTAGTGCTTCGACACGACACGAACCCGACACGACACGACATGATTGCCACCTCTAGTTCAAAACTTGAGTAATTTCGTTTATGTCTCGTTTGTTTATATAAACAAGACTAATAAAGCATGACATATTTATTTCATTAAATTTATTTTTAGGTAAAATTTAAAAAAAAAAAAAAAATCGTATATTTCGGGTAATACCCGAATTACCCAAACCCGACCCGATACCCGAATTACCCGAATTTAGTTTGGGTAGGGTAAGGGGTAATTTTTGTAACATGAAAAACCCGAATTACTTGACCCGAATTACTCGATCCGAATTACCCGAAACCCGAAAAAATTACCCGTTCAACAGTATGCATGTATAAAATAACAAATAATGATGCGGTCCTCCCGTATTTTATATATGACCTCAGCATTCAAATATTAATTAATCGTTCTATATTATACTCTGATATTAAACAAATAATTAATATTTCTTGTGATTTCTTCCTTTGTTTTTTGTCCAATTAATTAACTCTATAAGATCGAATGCATCAACGCACATAACCGAATCAAGCAAAACCATCGACAACACATGTATGCACTAGCTTATCTTCCCTGACGATATCTCCAAGATAATGGTTTTACATTTCATACGTACCAAAATGTTAAGAAACCGGTAACATCGGAACTCTCACATACTACATAATACAAAAATACGTAAGCATATAAGAGCTGCTTATTACAACAACGATAGATGGATGTAACGGAACAACACATGCATCATGCATACCCCCTAACAAAACAAAACGATCATGCAAGTTTATAAAGTTCACATACCATTAGCCTTTCCGAAAAACTTCAAGTAAAATGCAAGCATCTGTTCACGTGGTGGCAACGTATTCTTCACAGCCTCACTGTTAACGAAATCATCAGCCCATTTGGTCAGTTTTGGAAACTTGTCTTCAGTGAAGAACTTTATTCCAGCTGCTTCTTCCCTTATTGCATGCCAATAAGCTATGAAATCAGCTGCAATATCAACCAGACCAATGTTGTCGCCTCCAAAGAACTTGGTACCTTTGACTTTGAGTTGGCTTTCTAGTATTTGAAGTTGCTCACAAGCTTCTGCGATAGCCTTCTCATCCCCATTGCTACCAACAGCCTTAATCACAGGGATACACTGCACAAAATTAACCATACAATGTAAAATCAGTTCCGATGTCATAAAGTAAACTTTACAATACATATATTCAGTTTTGTTATTAATACATGTACATAAATATTACCTTTTCATCAATGAATTTCGCCAAAAATCGAGCAATAGCTCTCTCATAAGGATCCTGAGGCAAAATCGGCACTCCTTTCCAGACATCGTCGATGTACTCAACGATCACAAGAGACTCCGAGATCGGTTTTCCATTATGTAGCAACACCGGCACTTTATAGCTAAAAAATTAATTCAAATGGCTCAAGTTTTGAGTGATATATATATTTTGACTTGCGTCGTGAATTTAGAAGACATGAAATGGTTGTAGAAGGCTAACCACTTGTCAAGTTTCATAATTAATGTGTTATGTGTCCAAACGATCAAACATTTGGCAAAAACAGCATGCATGCAAACCAAGCCAATGCATGTCACATGAGTTTTTCTTTCCCAAGCAAAGCCAATGCATGTCTTGCTGAGTTTTCTCACCTGCTCCACCGCCTTCCAAACCAAAGAATTTCTTCCTCACCGCCTTTCATGCCAGTGCATGTCTTCCTAGTTAGGTAGCGATCCTCCTCATGTGTCGTTCCAAGAGGTTTCTTTCTGTTATTTCGGTTTTTGATTCAATCCATCTTCAATCTCCTTCTTTCTCCCTCCTAATTAAAGCTCTCGACCTGAGTCTATTTCAGAGATAATGAAGCAGAGGAAAGAAAAAGACTGAATTAAAATAATTTTTTTTATTCTGGTGCTGTCATGATCAGCTCTAGTTCCCTAAACTGTTTCTATTCAGATGGTATCTGATTTTGCCCACCAACTGTTTGCTAAAATTCTTGATTCAAATATTTCAGCCATTTTGAATCTTTTATTATAAATTTACTCACCGGTATGTTTTACTTACAGATGTTGTATGTTTCATCAAATGGGAATGGGAGTATTAAGATTATTAAGATTATACAACCAACAAACAACATAATACAATAGTTTGCATGCTAGACACATACATGCTTTATAACCTTAAACTACTATAAATAATGGGGCTAAATCGCGTGCTCTGTTTCATTAAGGTTCAACATCAATTTTCAATTACTCTGATTGGAGATTCTCACTTACTTTGTGGTAATCTTGCTGAGTGGAAGTTTTATGCTTGTTCTGATTAATCGATCGATAGATGGCTCCTACAGGAGTCATCTCGAACGATTCAAACTATGTATGGTAACAATTTATATATATATATATATATATATATATATATATATATATATATATATATATATATATATATATATATATATATATATATATGTATATATATATATGTATATATATATATATATGTATATATATATATATATATATATATATATATATATATATGTATATACATATATATATATATATATATATATATATATATATATATATATATATATATATATATATATATATATATATATATATATATATATTTCTATGTGATTAAGAAATACAGAGAATCTTACATTACGTATGTCCAAAATTAGAGTCTAATTTTAACTTTTACCTGAGTCAACTGTAAACATCAATCGCGCTGTAAAGAATTATTTGTTTGTGAATATAAAATCTGAAACTACATCAGCTACCATTTAACTTTCCCTCTTTTAAAATTGTAGAGCTAAAAGAATAATTACATCTATGTCAATATGAAATTTGAATACTTAGCATTTCCATATTTCAGAATCTGAAGTTTGACTCAATTTGTAAACAGCGGAATATTGCCATTTTGGGTGACAAATAGACGTTGTAGTTGAGAGCAATTACGTGATCCTTTCATTAGATTACTTTCATTGCCACTTGAAAAAAAAAAAAAACATGTATTTAGTTGTTTGACCATAAAGATCAGTCAAAATTCAATACCCATTATAATCCACATAACATGGAAGCATTTTAATACTGTAAAATTTTATTAATTAAATGCATCTTCCTTTACATTACCATGGTTTGAAATGAACTCGAAAGGTCAATAAATTATCTGTAAAAGTTGGTTGCCAAAACTTGGATTCCGAATCAAAGCTGTTGTGTGTTTTGTCCATGGCTATGGAGATAATTGCACATTTTTTCTTTGAACCTTTATGATGACACCCCCATCACGTATCTCTTATATAAACATCAGATTCGATTCTTTAGAGAATATTAACCCATTTTCAGGCATTGCAAATAAAATTGGTGCTTCTTGTTATGGTGTTTATGCCATTGATCATCCTGGTTGTTTTTCGCCTCACTGAAGGTCTACATGACTATATCTCCAACTTAATTTAGTGATATAGTTGAAAATGTAATTGAACAACAGACAAAAATATATAAAGCAATGCTTAATTATATTTAATTTCCTTTATAGTATAAAAGAAGAAACTTTTGGAACAAAATCCATCCATACATACATATTGCGGTTAGATTTTTAATTTATATATTCATGTTAATGTAAAATACATCAGTCAAAGTTAATAATACATGCATATTGCATGTTTAAATAATAACAAACAATGATGCGGTCGTCCTGTATTTTATATATGACCTCGGCATTCAAATATTAATTAATCGTTCTATATTATACTCTGATATCAAACAAATAATTAATCGTTCCAATTAATTAACTCTATAAGATCGAATGCATCAACGCACATAACGGAATCAAGCAAAACCATCAACAACACATGTATGTACTAGCTTATCTTCCCTGACGATATTTCCAAGATAATGGTTTCACATTTCATACGTACTAAAATGTAAGAAACCGGTAACATCGGCACTCTCACATGCTACATAATACAAAAATACGTAAGCATATAAGAGCTGCTTATTACAACAACGATAGATGGATGTAACGGAAAATTCAACTTCAATAACAACACAAGCATCATGCATACCTCCTAACAAAACAAAACGATCATGCAAGTTTATAAGCTTCACATACCATTAGCCTTTCCGAAAAACTTCAAGTAAAATGCAAGCATCTGTTCACGTGGTGGCAAGGTATTCTTCACAGCTTCACTGTTAACGAAATCATCAGCCCATTTGGTCAGTTTTGGAAACTTGTCTTCAGTAAAGAACTTTATTCCAGCTGCTTCTTCCCTTATTGCATGCCAATAAGCTATGAAATCAGCTGCAATATCAACCAGACCAATGTTGTCGCCTCCAAAGAACTTGGTGCCTTTGACTTTGAGTTGGTTTTCTAGTATTTGAAGTTGCTCACAAGCTTCTGCGATAGCCTTCTCATCCCCATTGCTGCCAACAGCCTTAATCACAGGGATACACTGCACAAAATTAATCATACAATGTAAAATCAGTTCCGATGCCATAATCAAAGTAAACTTTACAATACGTATATTCAGTTTTGTTATTAATACATGTACATAAATATTACCTTTTCATCAATGAATTTCGCCAAAAATCGAGCAATAGCTCTCTCATAAGGATCCTGAGGCAAAATCGGCACTCCTTTCCAGACATCGTCGATGTACTCAACGATCACAAGAGACTCCGAGATCGGTTTTCCATTATGTAGCAACACCGGTACTTTCTTGAAAACGGGATTGTACTTCAGAAGGTCGGCACTTTTGTTGCTGAGATCTTCTTCAAGATTTTCGTACTTGATTCCCTTGATATTCAAAGCGATTTTCGCTCTGGAAACGTATGCGCTTAAGACAGTGCCATACAACTTCATTGCATCCGCCATTTTTCTGATTGGAGCAGCTAGCAAAACCTAATTTCTTGTTTGATTTGGAGATGGTAGGCTTTTAAAATGTTTAAGAGAATGGTTGATATAAATACTAGGCGGAGTAGTTGGAAGTTGAATATGGTATAAGTTCAATTACTGATGATTACGCTCAATAGACTTGTACAATATGAAAGATAAGTTGTAAGTTGCATGGGGCGATACTATTAACAAATCAAATGGAGTGTTAACCAAGAGTCTTGTGCCTATCTCGAGTAAACAAAATGTTGTTGAGAATCGAAATGACAAAGTAGAGTATCAAAATGACACCATTAAAATTAGATGATATGTTTTAAAGTTTATGATTAATTTGAAATTTTTTTGCTAAGGCCTCAATTTCGTTTTTAGACTATAATTGAATATCTAACGTTAAATTCAAGTCATCTTTAACTTCAAGACATCTTTAAAAAGATTGCATCCACAATTCTTTGAGAAGTGCAAATAATATTTTATAAAATATGAATTATCTTACGATTTTCTCAAAAAATTAATTTTTATTATAGTTTTTTAAAAATAGAGGAATAACTATTGTTTAAAGGGTTATTGACTTGGGAATGTAATAAGGTTTAAATTATGTTCACATTAGATTCTTTTTGAACATATTACATTAATATAGTTGTTATAACCACTTAAAAAAGGAAATAAAGTTTTAATTTTATCCACAATAGATCACTAACGTTTTTTGTTATACATATTACACCAACATGATTGTTAATCACTTAAAAAAATGTAATAAGGTTTAATTGTGTCCACATTAGGTTCCTATTAAATTTTAATATATTTATCATTTCATCTAACTCTTTTACAATTTATATTAGTATCTAATTAGATGGTTTCATCATTTCATATTCTCATTTTAGTCGCTCATTCACCACAACCACGGTTTCAATCAAAAGGTTACGTAAACCAGTGGCGGAGCCATGTCAAAGTAATAGAGTATCCCAAAAAAAATAATGAGATATCTCCGATAAGTAATGACTCCGCCAATTGGGTATCCCCAATAGGCAATTACTTATCGGGGATACTTCATTACTTGTTGCGGATACTCTTTTACTTTAACTCTAGCTCTGACATTAGTTTATAAGCTATCCAAAATTTATATATAGTCATAAAATGATATTTAAAAATATATTTTCTTAAATAATTAAGAGGTCTATTAGAAAATTAAATAAATTTAAAAAAAAAAAAAAAAAAAAAAAAAAAAAACAAAAACAAACTTTTAAAAAACTAGTGTAAGTAGCTTTTTAAAATGCTAGTTATAAGCTATTTTTTGGTTTACCAAACATAACAACTTAAATAATATCGAAAAATAAACTAGTTGTGGCGCCAAACATAGTCTTAATCATTAAGACTTTCCATATTAATAGCCTTTTTTCATAAAAATGAAAAAAAATTGTTATGTAACCTTTCGATTGAAATCGTTGTTGTAGTGAATGGACGACTAAAATAAAAAAATAAAATGATAAAGCCATATAACTAGATACTAATATAAATTGTAAAAGAGTTAGATGAAATAATAAAAATATTAAAAATATGGAACTAATGTTGACACAGTAAACCTTATTACCTTTTCTAAACGGTTATAACAACCATTTTGATGTAATATGTACAAAAAAGACATTAGGAACCTAATATGAACAAATTTAAAATTTTATTACCCTTTTTAAAGGGTTTATAACAACCATGCTGGTGTGATATGTACAAAAAAAAACCTTAAGGACCTAATGTGGACAAAATTAAAACCTTATTACTCTCCTAGATCATTAACCCTTCTTAAATTTAGAAGTAAGCGCTTTATGCTATAAGATATAGCATGCATTTAATATTTAATATTATTAAAATTCCAAACTCCGTTTATTTTGTACATTGCAACTTGTATTATATATATAATATATATATATATATATATATATATATATATATATATATATATATATATATATATATATATAGAACTTTTTCATATGTAAAAAAATAAATCAAATATCCCCTCTCGCCTTCTATTTCCCCATCTCTGCAACAAGGTTCTCCATAGATAACCCACCACCACCTATCACCGCATACACCTCCGACACCATCACCTGTCACCGTCATCTCCTCCGGCACCACCACCTATCTCCGTCATCTCCTCTGGCATAACCATCTATCACCTCTAATACCTCCTCCAACTAAAACATAATCTGAAAACTTTACACCTGTCGAAAATCGTTATGAACACAGGTGAAGAAGGAGATCAGTCGTAGCGTTGTTGATCTCGAAACCCTAGCCAATGGAGATCGATGACGACGCACGAGTAAATGAGATCCATGGCTTCATGCGTCATTTTGAAATCCTAAGAGGAGGCGGTGATGATGTCACTGAATGCTAGATAGGCAACTACCTTTCATCTACACTTTCGATGACGTCTAAAGCACCACCCTTCATTTGCACTCCGGTTAAACCCTTCTTCTCCGCACCACCGACACTGTTTTCTCCCTCACCCTCACCGACAGAAAAGGAAGAACAAATCTATTATTTTCCACCTTCATCTTCGATTGTAAACCCTTGTTCCACCTTCTCCTCAGTTACAAAACCTAGATCTTATGTACATTCCGCCGGAGTATTACCTGATGTATTTGTGTCGAATTTGTTAGGGGGGAGCAAATTTACAAAGGGGTTTTAAGGGACTGATCAGTTGTGTAAGTGTGCGAGTGTGAAGAGTTGCAAAGCTGAGGAAGAAGAACGTCACACCCCCAAACCGAAACGACGGAAACATTCAGGGGTGGAGGACGTCATGTATAGTATCACAAGAATTGCATCATAGTAATCAAAGTAAAAACCGAAGCCAAAAGGTCACACTATTGTTAGAACAAGATGGGTGTACAAAAACAAACTCGATGAATCTGGTGCGGTCATTTGAAACAAGGAAAGATTAGTTCCCAAGGGACATAGTCAACTAGAAGGTGTTGATTATGATGAAACGTATGCCCCCATAGCCAGGATGGAAGCAGTACATATCTTCTTAGCGTATGCAACACACAAAAATATCAAAGCACAACAAATGGATGTAAAAATCGCTTTCCTGAATAGTGAATTGAAAGAGGGGGTTTACTTGCAACAACCTCCAGGCTTTGAAAGTCTAAAGTTCCCATATTATTGTTTCAAGCTTGAGAAAGCAGTCTATGGTCTTAAGCAAGTACCGAGGGCATGGTATGAGACTCTCTCTGAGTTTCTTTTCATGTCAGGATACAAAAAAGGTGTGATTGATCCCACATTATTTCAAAAGTCTAATGGAAATCACCTTATTCTTGTTAAATTTTATGTGGATGATATCGTATTCGAGTCAACAGATCATGGTATGGTGGATGAATTTTCAATGCTCATGACCAACAAGTTCCAATTAAGCATGAATAGAGAGATTAACTTCTTTCTAGAACACTAAGTGAAACAAGTCCCTTAAGGGATATTCATTAATCAAGAGAAATAGACCTCTGAATTGCTGAAGAAATACGCAATGGATAATTGTTCCTCAGCTAAGGTTCCTATGGCCTTCGGATATTAGATTTCCGCTGATCCTTCCTGAGAATCAGTAGACCACAAAACTTATAGAGGAATGATTGGTTCTTTGATGTACCTTACCACATGCAGACCAAATATTGACTTTGCAACAGGCTTATGTGCCAGGTACCAAGTCGGACACTTAACCGTAGTCAAACAGATCTTCAGATACTTGAAAGGAAGCAAAGCTCTTGGCCTATGGTATCTCATTGGGAACGACTTCAGTCTTCAAGCCTTTACTGATGCGGATCATGCCGGATGCAGATTGGATAGGAATAGCACTTCAGGTGGTTGTCAATTTCTTGGAGGAAGATTGGTCAGCTGGTCTTCACGGAAACAAAATTGTGTTTCTTTGTCTACTGCAGAAGCCGAGTATGTGGCCGCAACGAGCTGCTGTTCTCAAGTCCTTTGTATGAAAACCCAACTGATGGACTACGGATATAGAATGTCGTGGATACCGATTTATTGTGATCCAGGGAGTGCTATAGCGATTTCTCACAATCTTATTCACCATTCGAAGACTAAACACATTGAACGTCGATACCATTTCATCAAGGACCACATACTCAAAGGTAACATTGAACAAATTTTTGTCCCAACTCACGAAGAGATTGCGGCTGTGTTTACAAAGGAAATTGATGCAACAAAACTCAACGGTTTTCTACAAATGTTAGGGGTGATGAATTCGGATCCACATTTCTTTTTGAATTTATAGGTACCGCAAACCACCTCTGGTCTCTGTTGCGGTCCTAGTTAATTATATCTATCATACATGGTTTCAGTATACCTTGTATATCACAACCATATATCATACTTATATTTTTTGGGTCCTTATTGTTTTTTATATCTGAATCGTTTGTCAAGTGTTCCTCAGTTCCTACTACCGCAGTCACATTACTATCCACCCCAACAAAGAATCAATCCGCAGTCACTTTTAATGAATTCTCAACAACTTCATAAATTCCCTGCAACCTTGTGTGCTATTTACTAATCCTCATTAGATAAAAATTCTTTCATATTAAATTCATACATTCGTTTTGTAGCATACAACGTTTCAGTTCTCTTCTAAAGTTCTTTTTGTGTCAGACCTATTTTAGATTAAATTACATCAAACTTGTTTCCCATAAAAGAAATTTTTTATGAAATCATTTTCCTTAAACTATCAAATCTTCTTTACCCAATACGTCCAATCCGTTCAAAATTCCACCTTTATTCAACGGATTAACTCCCCTCACCACATGTTCTCTAAACGTGTGATAATGGGCCTGACATTTCATTAAGTATCCCATTTTTGAAAAACAAAAAAAATAATAATTTCTTTTAATTTATTTTATTTGTGGTTGATAATGGTTAAAACCCAAGGGTTTTTACAGTTAATAGCTGTAGATAGGGTAAATTCAGTAAATGATTGAGATCCGGAACTATATAAACACTTTTTCCCTCCCAAGAAAGCTTTACGCTTTCTAAACT